CCTGGAGTGCTTATAAATCCTTGGGTAAGGTGCTGTTTTTCTAGGTCTTTCAGATATTTCTCCTTAATTCCTGTTCCTTACAGAACAAATGGCATAACAATCTTCATCAAATGAACTCACATTCAATCTTAAGAATTAGCTACCATCACTGTTGTCGTGCGATGCGTCATGCAATGAAACCTGAATGCTTCCTTTCCTGCTCTATGTCTTCAGTTGACTGGGAAGGCTCACAGTCTGTGCTCAGCCTCACAAACCTTATCCTACTAAATACAGAATTAGATTTGAATCTACATGTTAAACTGAAAATGAGTCCGGACAAGCAGACACAAGAAGCTGATGAGTCTCCAACACACAATCACTGTTCTGGATAGATTTCACCCGAGCGTGAAGCTAAAAGGGAGTCAGTGAGCTGTTGCGGGGACAAGGGAAGCCTTGCAAAGCCTGTTTTGGCTGAGGAGCAGCTGGCCTGTCTCAGAGCTCACCACTCGACGGCCTCTTCCTGACCAACATGTGGATGTGAGGTAAAAGCCCGGGCGTAGGAGAAGCCCAGTTTCCACCCATAACAAACCTGACCCCAGCTCTGTTATCTTAAGGAAACCCTCAGGAGCTGGAAGTTGGCCGGAGAGCAGATATGACAGGAGGTAGGAGTGTTTTCCAAAGCAAATGGGCTAAATTAGGTCTTCTCTTGAAAAGATTAGCTCTGGCTGGAACAGTCCAGTTACATCACTAACGAGCATTTAATAATTTCCTAAAAGACTTCTGTTTAACATCAGGAGTGCACCAACAAAAGTCAGCATGTCAAGATTCTCTGTAGATGTGAAAAAGGTGTTAAGGTCCACATGTATTCAGGACCTTCTGTTCTGCTTTGAGAGATTAAATCTGTTACTCCTTAAATCTATTGAACAAATACCTAGACTCATGTCTCTTTGGGAAGTCAGTGATGGAGATGGAGCACAAACCTAAACAAGCAGGTTGATTTTTCCATTTGATAAGCGAGCGATGGGAATTTTCCCCCTGTTTGAATATTTACAGTCCAGTGACATCAGAATGTTCAGGGGTCAGGTTTTTCAAAATGAGGGAGTCTCTTGTGTGTGAAGGTCATACCTGGGTGAGATGACTCTTGCAGACTGTTTGGCTCTGGTGAACCAAAACAGGTTCTTGCTCTCCTTTTATTAAATCTCAACTGGCATATACTATAAACGTGGTTTTAAAAAGTTAATTGATTTATTAACTTCAGTAAAAGTGGTTAAGAAAGGTAGATTTCTGGAAAGTCATTCCTTGATTTTTTACAAAAAGCAGTTGATGAACTATATTAGTTTGTTAGAATTGGCACAATGTTCTACTAAGCATGTAATCAAACCTTTGGATATACGTACATCTTGTCAGTCTGTTCTCATATATACAACATTAGGCACAGTTTTTGACCACTCCAAAGCACAGAGATTGCAAAAACAAAGGTTTAAACACAGTATGACAGACTATTAAACTAAATTTTTGTGATGTGCTAAACTGGCTAGACAGGGACTGTTTTGGGTCATTAGGATGATTGACACATATTACTGGATTGGACATTACGTGACTACCTCATGACACATGTGCCATCACTATGCATTGAGTCAGGACGGCAGCAGAAGCAGAAGCAAGGTCAGAAGTACACAATACTGATTATTTGTAAAGGCCAATAAAGGTCTGAGTAGAAAGTCATATTGCTTTGACAGTATAACTTGAATAAAACTGAGATATAATTAACATGAAATGCAATTTGAGGAAAATTCTAGAAAAATAAGAGATGTACAAAGGTATGCCATGAAAAGTAGCATAGTGTATAAAATTCTGAAACAAAACATTTTACCTGGTTAAATAAAAATAAAATAAAATAATATAAAACAAGGATTTCAATATTCGAATTTGCAATAACCTCTGTAAAAACTTAAGATTTGTTTTAAGTTTGTTTTGGTCCCTTTAGATTTCTCAAAGTGAAACTAATCTCCTTATTAGGCTAGTTGTGCTGGATAGGCTATGTTGCCTTTTTACCCTTCGTCACTAGGGTTTATGTCTTACCTGCTCACTTATGAACAAATATTAATTTACAGCACTTTGCTGCCAGTGATTTCAAATTTATTATCCTGTCCCTCTCTGCCCCTCCGTTCCTCTCTGGCTGTCTCTCTGTGTGTCTCTGCACTGCAGTGACAGACGGCCTCAGAAAAAGCAAGAATGGGGCGAGAGGGGTCAGTCTTCAGTCTGGGAGCTTCAGGGAAGCAGATACCTGAGTGAGCCACACGGACTGCATGGATTGCTTATTTAAAAAAATCTAGTGCGACCCGAACAGAGACTTTGATCCTGTTCCTCGGTGATAGCCGAGTGGGCCAGGCCAGCAAGAAATGTCCCGGTGCTCCCGATGGACAGTCCGCCACCGCATGGGTGACAGGAGTCAGATGAACCCTCTTTTAATGTTTCAGTGTAGAAAGTTCGGCATCAAGGCCTGATACCAACGAACTGTGATACAAAGATCACAGCTATGCAGCTCGAGCTGTTAAACATCAATTGACATCATGGCGATCTTCATAGTGCAGTAGGTATAGCTGTCTGCACTATAATGCACAGTTCCCACACTGCTTATTAGAGAAAGTACACATTTCTATGTATCATAACATCTGCAATTTACTCAGCTTTAATTTGAGCCATATTTTATAAAAAAATCGGATGAGGAATAAGGGTACTGCGGCCATTTTTGTGACAGACTTATGCTCCTTCCACATTGGAACAGCATGGTTTTGTGGACATGACTCAAGGCAAAGCAAAGGCACCTGAGTGTTTTTTTTGTGTGCAGGGAACAATTATTGTGTTCATTTGGGCATTTGTTTTGAAACAATATCCTGCTAAAAGACCAAGTAAGGACCCATTTCAGTTTTCTGACAGACATCACCAGATTTTTATTTGAATCTTCAGTCTGAAAGCTCCTTTAAGATGTCCTTTCAGACCTACCTGAAGAGTTTGTTACTAAAAATATACATTTTAGTCTATTTTGACAGAAGTCCCTGGTGGCTTTAGCAAACTGCTCATGTTTACATGTCAGATGATGGACAGAAAAGCTGTGTTGTGGCATGCCTCCTGAAGTACTGGTTGGCATGTAGGTAGTGTCTCATGGTTCTTGGTGACCCCAAGAATCCACTCTTTACTACAGTTCTAGAGCAGGGGCTTTGGAATGTTTTTTTCACATCCCTTACCATCACCCTTACTGTGAGTAGTGGCGGGATAATCTTGGATCCTCACCTATCCTTGTCACAGTTAGTTCTTTTAAACTTTGTAATTATTGCTCTGACTGTAGATGTGGAAAAGTTTATCCATAACTAGATTTATGCGGATCATCACAATGCTGCCTTACTTGAATGGTATGTTCTCTTGTCTTGCCCTTTCTGAACAGTGGCTAACTGTGTCAAATTATATTTATACCCCAGAAAGTCATGATTTTATTCACCAGACAGATTTTTTTTATAAAGAATTTGTTTGTTTTCACTGAAATGCAGATACCTTTACTTTTCCGAACAGGGAACCTGCTAAAAAAAAAAAAAAAAAAGAGTGGAAACTGAATAGAGTTCAGTATTAAAATAACATGGTCAAATCAAAGCGGTTCACACCATCTGTGAGCAGATTTGACTAGAAACACACCTCCCAGAGAGCTTTTTCACCTTTAAATCTGAGATGATGCATATTCTGTATGCATCAGTGTCAGTGACCTCAGCCGGGACACGGCAAAGAGCCCAGTGATTTACTCCCTTCTAGCTTGTAATGCGACACAGTGAAATAAGAGCGACAGCGCCTACGCGATATGTTAAAGGGGAAATGTGTCATGCATATTTTGGAGTTTGAACACCGTCTGTAGCCATGAGAAAGCTAACATTTTCTTCATGTTTCATATTTACGACTGCCTTCCATCATTTCTCTGGGCTCTAGTTAAGCAAGGCGAGACTCAAGCTTTAAACTCGGGTCTCTGCTTAAAAGGGGAATCTCTCTTCTGTGGCTCAGAGGTTTGGCTAGAATCAAAAATCTTTTTGTGCATTTTGACAATGTTGCTCTAAATTTCTTTTATAATTATTGGTAAAGGTCTTATCAAAAAGGTCCTTAGGTTTTAATTTATTTGCAAGTAAGATTAATAAATTCCTCAGATCAGTGTCTCCAAACTGTTCTAAAGTTCAACTGCAGGTTTTGCAAACCATTACGTTTTTATCACCTGCTTAGCTGTTTAATTAGAAATATGTGCTGAAATGCAAATGATTAACATGAATTAAGGAAGATCAATCAGCCTCTTGGTTACAGAGGGATTACCAAGTAGAAGTGAAAACAGGAAGCAGTTTAACAGTTAAATAGTTCGTCAGGTAGGAGCAGTGAGTTTAATTTTGTTTAAATTCACTTTCACAAGGCGCTGCATATTAAACTCAATAAGATCCTCTGAGCTACAAACTTGGCAGAGATGAAGAACAATCACAGTAAGTAGTTTCCTTTCTTACAAAATATCTTGATGTTTCCATTTATGCAAGAAGCAAAATAAATTATAAATAAAATAAATTGACTAAATAAAATCTGTTTGAGAAGGCCAAAACAGTTTGATTATTCATTTCCCTCAAATGATGACCATCTTGTTGACTAAAATGACCATTTCTTTTTTTTGAATTTCTAATATCAGCTAAAACTGGAGCTCAGTCTCTGACTGGCTGGGTAACTTCCACTACTTTCCTATCAAGCTCATTGTGCCATATTTTTACGAAAGGCAAGGGAAATATAAATAATGACTCACTTAAAAAGGATCCAATCAAACCCTTTAAAACTTAAATGGCAAAAAAGTTTGGCCAAAAAAAGTCATTTTACAAAGTCTGACTAAATGTTCCTTCTTCAAAGATTTTGGTTTTTTTAATCCATTTTTTAAAGCTTTAACAGCATTTTCCTATATAAAAATCAAATAATCAAAATTCATTCTAAAAACCCTTTTTAGTTTGGGGGCTGCAAAGGTTTTGGGGCAGTTGGTAGCACTGTTGCCTTTGCAGCAAGAAGGTCCCGGGGTTCAATTCCCCAGCCGGGGGTCTTTCTGCATGGAGTTTGCATGTTTTTCCCGTGCATGCGGGGTTCTTCACCGGGTTACTCCAGCTTCCTCCCACAGTCCCCCAAAAACTTGCCTGTTAGGTTTTAAATTTGGGCACTCTAAAATTGCCCCTTAGGTGTATGAATGAGTGTGTGCATGGTTGGTTGTGTGTTGCCCTGCGATGGACTGGCGACCTGTCCAGGGTGTTCCCCGCCTCTCGCCCATAGACTGCTGGAGATAGGCACCAGCTTCCCCGCGACCCACTATGGAATAAGCGGTAGAAAATGACTGACTGACTGACATTTTTCAGTTATGAAAGATACTAAATGAATAAGATTAAAATGAATTCAAGCAAAACATAAAAAAAGTCCATTCAGTCCCTTATAAGGTAATAAAATTCTGGCATTCTTGCTTGGGATTGACGTTTTGATTTCTTTTTAAAAAAATGTTTTACCATTTAACCCAAAAAACAAAAATTTAAAGGAAAGACCGGGAAAAAGTAAAAGAAAAAATAAAAAAAGATTTTTCCAAAGTCTGACAAAAAGCCCTGCTATATTTCCCAAAAAATATTTTTTGGGCTATTTTTTACAGTACCAAACAACTTTGATGACATCCTAATTTAAAATTTTATAAAAGGGCAAATGTGGGATTTTTCCACCAAATGCCGCCAAAGGGAACTTTAAATATTCTTTTTTTTTCATCGTCTTTGAAAGGGTTTCGGTAGTTGCAGGTCGGTCAAGTTTCTCCCAAAAAAAAATTAATACCCCCGGGATTTAAAGGGAAGTTTACTGGAAACCAAAAATTCATTGATTTTGTGGTCGGACCCAATACCTTTGGCAAAATATTGTACTTTGCCCGGGGAGTTTCGTGTGTTTATTCCCCTTTTCTAAAAAAAAAAAATAATAAAAAAATTTAGAAATTAAGACAAATCTTTCCGGTATTAAACGTCAAGCTAAAAACAGGGCAAGCAAAAAAAAACAATTAAAAAAGCAAATAAAAGGCCCCCTCAGATACTTCAATGTAAAAGGGTCTGTATTGGGTTTTTAATTTTGGGTTTTTTTTTCCTTTTGAAAAAAAGTAAGCCCTTTACGTTATAAAGTAATATAAATTTGAAAATCTGAGACCCTTTTTTGTACATCCTCGGCAGCACATTCATTTAACATACAAATGCCATCTGTAAAAGAGGTCAAAGAATCTTTTTTTTTTTAAATTTTCCTTGGGAAATCTGATCCAAAACCCAAAAGGGGGACAATTCAATTTTTATATGAAATTTCATTTTGGGAAAAATTTTTAATTTTTGGCATTTTTTTCTTTCCACGTGGCAAGAAGCTTGTTGTTCTCAAATCAAGCCGGGTTTTACCTCCTCCCCTTTAAAAAAAAAGCGGCCATCTTTACATTCCAAAAATTTGTTAATACTTTTTAAAAGAAAAGTGACAAAATTTGTAAAATTAAAAACCCCAGGAAATAAACGAATAAATAAGAATAAATAATCTGCTGACTCTCAAAAGAGACTTTGGCAGTCTGACAAAGCTGCAGCTGTGGAGCTTTTAGCATCACTGTGTGACATGTCGGACTTTTTTTTTACCTCCGCACTGACCCCCCTTTACAAAATTTTTATGTCACTCCTCTCAAAATTGTGGAAAAAAAATTGCTTTGTTTTATGCCCCTTTCCGATGCGCAGCGGGCCCTTTTTTTTTTCCCCTAAAACACCCCGTTGGGAGGTGGACACTTTTCCTGGAGTGCTGAGAGGGTCAGTACAAAAAAAAACCCCCCCGGAAATGTGCACCCCAGAGTAAATTTAAAACTATAAAAATCCCAAAAACACTGATTTTGTGTTCCTTTTTAAAAATTTAATATTCTGCTAAAAAAAAAGGAAAAATTTTAAAAAAAAGGGAAAACAGGGTTTGATAAAAAACCCCGGGACATGCTTACAATAAGAAAAATAGGGAAACAGGGAAGGAAGAATTTTTGGGAAAAAAAATGATAAATTTTAACCAGCATGATTTGCATTTGAATTTATTTTTTGGCTTCTGAACTTCCATTTAAAAAAAAAAAAAAATCTAAATTTTTAAAAACGTCTGCCCTTTTAACGGGCGGTTTTTTTTGCAGGAAATCAAAACTCATCATTTTTTGGTCCCAGAAAACTTTACCCCATTAGCCCTGCCTTTTTTCTTAAAGGAAGAAAAAAACGGAAAAAAAATCCCCAATGAACCGAAAAAAAAAAAAAAACCATGTAAAAATAATGTACCCCCCATATTAAAAACAATCTAAAAAACCCCTCAGACTTTAAAAACAAAAAAAAAAAAATTAAGTCAAAATAAGTATTTTTTTTTTTAAAAATTTATTTTCCTATTCATCGGGGGGACTTCCAAATAAAATGTATAAAATTAAAGTAACATGAGGGAACAAAGCAATAAAAATAAATACTTTTTCGCTATGTCACCTTTCAAAGAAGTATATCTATGTACATTTATACCAGTATCAATTTTTTTTCTTAGCTTATTGTGAATGCATGTGTTCAGCAAGCAGGTATTGCGCACAGTGTGTTTTTTTTCCTCTGCTGTTCTAAAAAGGTAGCTAAACGTTGAAATCTGACAACACTACGAAACTTTGAACTTTCCAATTTTTATGAAAAGTAAATCTAGCTCAAATGAACAAGATATTCTGACCTGTCAACAAGCAGGCATTATGCTAGTTTTTTAACCATCTTCCTTGTTTTAAAGGGTATCTAAGACTGACATTAAAAAAGGTGAAAACAAAAACACAAAACATAGCCCCGTAATTCTTTTATGAAAAGCAATTCTGGCTCAAGTGACATTTTTTTTTGTTTGTTTCTCTTCTTTGTCCGAAAAAGTATCAAAATGTGAAATTACCAAAACATAGTGGAATTAAAGAACAAAAACAGAATGGTTAGGCATGTGTTAAATATTTTTTTGTCTTTTGTCCTAAATTATATTGAAATATCACACTAGCAAGACAATGAAACAAAAAAAAAAACCCAAAAAAAAACCCTTTCTGTTTTTGGGGTTTTTTAACCCCTAATTTGAGCCCAAAACCCAAAAACTAATCAAAATAAACCCATACCTTTATTTTTCAGATGGGTTTTAAAAAGGGGCAACACCAGAGGAAAGAAAACCTAACTCTCTGGTTGTCATGAGGAAAAGATTTGGCCTAAATGGGACCAATAACAAAAACAACTCAAAACAACTTTGAATTTATCATTGTTTAAACCTCAAAGGTTAAAATTAGCTCAAAGAGTCCGTTTTTCTCTCTCTCTTATTTTCTAAAATGTACCAAAAGAGGAAATTTTTTCCCAAAATTGTTTAAAAAAACACGGTTTTTCCCATTTTTTTGTGGGGGTAATTTGCAGGTGTCCAAAAACCCTGAAATTTTTTTTTCCCTTTTTTTCTAAATGTTATTTAGAGAAAAATATAAAATTTAAAAACTAAACCAAATCTCCAGTCCTCAGGGAAATGATTTTGGCTCTATTAATTAAGGGTTAAAGGAAAAGGGTTTAAAAAAGGGCAAAGCCCGGGAAAATTTTTACAAAACGTTTAAAGGAGGGTAAAACCCCCACAGAAACCCCCCGACTTTCTCAGGGTTTTCAGGGCCCACAGTGTTTTTCACAATTTATTTATACCAATGGGTTAAAACAGTCCAAGAAGAAATGGGGAAGAGACCTTTTTTGTAGGTCTTGTGAAGTTAGATATGTGTACCAAGGTTCAAAGCATGGCTTGGAGATGGTTGTTTTAATGATTCTAGGGGGCACTGTGGCGGAATTAGGCCACACCCACCAAATGTTTGCCTAAATATCTTTTAGGGGCTGGGATTTTTAAATCAATTTATATTTCCCAATTTTTGGGGGGGATCAGGTTTTAATATGCGGGGAAAAAATTTGAAACTAAACCCCTATGGCCACGGCATAAAAAATTGGGGTTTTCCCCCCACCCCTAAAACCCCCCCCCCCACCTGGTCAAAAATTTAGGGAGTTTGGGGGACCAAGTTTTTACCAGCTTGTCATGGGAAAAAGTTTTTAAAGTTAATTGGGGCAATGGGGTCCAAAAAATGGAAACCCTCTCAAGGTTAAAAATTTTGAGTTCCTGTTTTTAGGGGGAGGGCCCCAGAATTTTTTATAACTTAGATCCCCCATGGGTTTTTTGAGCAAAACTCACCAAATGTTTAGATGATTGGTCAAAACTTCTAGGAGTAGAAATGAAATGATGAGGCTAGAAACGGCCAAAATGGGGGCAAGATCAAAAATTCAATCCAAGGTAGCAAACTTCCTGTTTGTTATAGACCATAAGTGCAAGAACGGTCTTAGGAGGTTCTACAAGTGTACCAAGTTTCATACCTCTACGATAAAGTAAGGTAAATGAGTAGGGTGTTTTGAACATTTCAGAGGTGGGGGCGCTGTGGAGATATTTGTATTAAAAAATTAAAACAAATTGGAATATTTGCTTAGTTTTCTGTTAGCAGTTAAACATGTGCTCAACAAGAGACAACGCACAATTATATCCTTTTTTTTTTTGTAACTGTAAAATGTGACAACAATATTTATGAAAGGAACAAAAACTGACTTTCCCAATCATAACAAAGAAGGAATTTGGGCAAAGAATGGAAAAAAAAGGATTTATCTAATCGTGTGTGTCAAGGAACTAAACCGACTTTTTTCTTTTATCCTAAAAAGGTACCAAAATATAAAATTGTACTACGTGAATTAAAAAAACAAAAAAACTAAATCCATACTCTATGGTTAAGGCTAATACTGGTCTAAGCAGAAAAAAAACATTATTTTAGCTTTCTGTGAATGGTTTATAATGTACTTAACATGCAGGCAATAGAGTTTTCCATCCCTGTTGTCTACAAAGGTCCCTAATAGTTAATGAGGACACCGTAAAAGAAAGAACTAAATCTGAACTGACAAAAATTGTAGCCTCAATGGACAATTAACAAAGAGATAATTGGGCAAAAACAGTGAAAAGGACTTTTGACACAAATGGAACACAAAAGG